GGATGGAGAGTGAGCGGGGGCGCCTGTCCTGGGTCCACAGGAAGCTGGCCCAGCTGATGCTCGGGGGTCCCCCAGAGGGGCCGGTGTGTCACTGTGGGGCAGCCCGCCCAAGGCCCTTCTACCTTTGCGCTGGCCAGGGGGTCCTTGTTCACAAAAGCCTGGACAAATTCCTCGGGCCCGACGTGTCGCAGCCGCGCCTGCACCGGGAAGGAGAGGAGTCCGAAAGGTTATGGGGAGGAGGGGTGCCCGCCGGAGGCCTGGCGCTGTGCTCCTTCGGGGTCCCCGCCTCCCAGCCCACCCCAGGAGGGTCTCAGGCACCTGTCCTCACTGGGGCTCTGCAACCCTGTCCTGGGTTGTCACAGAGCTCGCAGCCCTCCTTTCCCACGCCCAGGGGCTGCCTCCTTCATGGGGGGCCAGGGCAATGTCCTCCCAGGGAGGGCTTGTGGATGCCAAGCCTGGGAAACCCTGGCTCCACATGGGTAATGGGTGACCTGCTCCCTCCACGGGAGGCCTGGTGGTTAAGAGTCTGGGTCAGAACTGAATCCTGGCTCTGTCCCTCCTGCCGTGTGACTTCTGGCAAATCACTGAACTTCCTCATTTGTGAAAAGGGAGTAGGAGCACCTACCAGGCCGAGTGAGGGGAGATGAGACAGTACATGTAAGAGTTTATAGTGCCTGGAAAACAGCAAGGAGCCCATAAACGGTGGACGGTTAACAGGAAAGAGCCTGCGGCCCAGCCTCTCCTCTCTCTGGGGAGGGCCCCTTGGCCTCTGCATCTACCAGGATCACAACACACTGGAGGCACCGAGGAATCCCCTTCACAGCAGGGAGGCCTGTCTGGGCTCCTCTAGAAAGCTATGGTGGATGAAGTGTGTCTGTGTGAGTTCTGGATGGGGAAACTGAGGCCCAGGTGGAGAAGGCAACTAGTTGTGGGAGGGTCACACAGCAGGTGGTGTCGGAGCCAGGATCTGAACCCAGTTCTTCTGTCTTGGCCGGGGCTCTCACACTGGCCAGTGGTCAAAGGTGGGCAGGGCTGGAACCTCCAGGGCTTCTGTTCTCACCCCAGGGTTGCTGAGACACTGCTCTAGAGCCAGGGGCCTCTGAGATGCCTGGCCGGCCCTGCTCTGATGGGCTCAGACAAGGCCCGGGGCTAGACAGGGGTGGAAGGGTGGCTGGTGGTTCTCAGTTGTTCCCGGCTCTGGGTCTAGGCTGAGGGTGGCATGAGCCTGCTCACCAGCTCCACGTGGGTTAGCTGCTGGGCCAGCGTGTAGGGGTCACTGCAGACGCTGAGGAGCTCCCTGTGGATGGAGGCTGGTGGCTTGGTCCTGTAGGAGATGGGCTTGTCGGCGCCCAGCAGGCTTTCGGGCCCCTGGCCCAGAGCCGCCAGCTTCTGGTGCAGAGCCTGCAGGAGCTGGTGCATCATCCTTCTGTAGGCCTGGGTGGGTGGGGAGAGGGTGCTCAGGCCAGCACACCCATCTCCACCTCTCTGATGTCTGAGGCAGGCCCTGGGCTACAGGGATGGGCTGTTACTAGGTGTGCCAGCACCTGCCCCGCCCTGAAGCAGGACCCAGTCCAGGGCCCAGTCAAGGCCAACAGGAGAGAAGACTGCAGGGTTCCCAGTGGGAGCTGAGAAGAGCATACATCAGGGGATATCACGAGGGTCCAGAGCTGCCCCAGCTGTCCGGGCAGTGGGACAGTTGGGCTGGGCAGTGCCAGGGAGCAGAAGAAGGGAGGGAGGAGGGAGGTGTGGAATGGGCCCTGCCCTGGGCAGCTGGCCTTTTGTTCAGCTTAGTCTGCAGAGCCAGGCTGGCTCCGGGCACACAGTGGGCACTTGACAACCAATTACTAGACCAAGAGTCCCTTGCCATGCAGCTTGGGTGGACAGATTCTTCTTTGGGCCACCCTGGGCTGGATGTAGGGACAAAAAGCCATGGCCCCACCCTCAAGGGGCATCCACCCTCTCACCCGAGGGGAAGCTGATAATTTCCCCCTCAGAGATCTTCATGTTCAAGGAAGGGGCCATTGAACTGGCTGGGTTTACTGAGCGAGATGTTCACACATTCCCAAGGGTGCGGTAAGTAACCCACAAAAAGCCCCTAGCTTGTCAACAAATGGCCCTCAACCAGCCGTGAGCCAAGGGGCTGACGGAATGTGCTGGGTGCCAGGGCCTGGTCTCTGGGTGGCACCACGTGTCAGGCAGACAGGCTGTACGCATGGGCAGGCCGGCCCTGGAGGCCTGGGAGGATGACGGTGGTGTGTTGTGGATGCTGCCAGGAAACTTCAGATCAAGTGTGTTTCAGTCGGCTGTTTTGACACACAAACCCAGTGGCATTTTGCAGGTGGGGCATCTGGCTTGCTGGGCCGCGTGTGCTGGACAGCTCCTCAAGTCCCTGATGGGGCTCAGGAGGGCCACTGATCGCCCGAGCCACGTGGCCAAGGGACCACCTCACCGACGCGTGCATGTGGAAGTCATGCTGTCTTCCCCCAGAGCGGCCGCCTCTGTCTCGGTGAATGGAGCACCGGCCAGCACACAGGCCTGCGGCTGTCCCCAGAGCCCCCGCCATCACGCTCCTCCAGGCTGTCACCGACCCCCTCAATTTTGCTTCCTTCCCTTTCCATGGTTTGTTTTCTTCCACAGTCTCTGAGGTCCAGGCTGCGGTCATCTCCCTGGTGGCCGCGGTGGCCTCCTCGGTGGGCCCCCTGCATTGACACCAGCCTCGCTCCACCCCACTCTGCTGCCAGCAGTGTGTTCAAAATGCACATCGGACCCTGCATCTCTACACTTTCACAAGGACAAAAGCCCTGTGTCTGGGAGGCCCCGAGGTCAGCTCTGGCCTCGCTCAATGGCCTCCAAGTGGCCCTTGCTCCCCTTGCTCATGCTCCAGACACAGGCCACTCTTCTATCCCTTGACCCCTTCCCCACCCCTACCCCATCCCGCCAGCAGGGCCCCGCAGCCTTCTCCCTCTGGCCGACGGGCATCAGGTCCCTCCTTCCCAGCCGTGCCCTTGCCCGCTTGGGCCGCCCTCCCCCCACCTCTCTTCTCGCTGCTCCCTGCACAGCACACGGGCCACGTTGCTCAGGCCCAGCATGAAGGGCAGTGTCTGGCTCACCTAGGGGCCCACACACGTTTGCTGATGGATGAACATGGCCTTCGCCTGCTTCTAGCCAGCCAGCTTCTCCAGGGTGGACCAGGGAGCCCTCCTGAAGTCAAGGATGCAGCACACGTGTGCCGATGGTTTGACAGGACCACACGCTTACCCTGTTTGCAAATATGCAGGTAATTTAGCAGGACCTGCTCCTGTTGAACCAATGTTCATTCCAAGTAATTATCATTTCCTGTGTGCTAATTCGTTGAGAATTTTTCCAGTGGTGTTAACCTCAAGGCTACTGGCTGCTTCTTTCCCAAATCTTCAGCTCCCCCTCTGAATGTGAGAATGGATTTGCCTTTCTCTTTGACCTCCTTTCATTTTCGCGCTGACTTTACACCCCCACAGATGGAGGCTAGGAGAACTCCGAGGTACAGCTGGGCCCATGCAGAGACCCTCCTGGGAATGGCGAGGTTCCTTGTCCCGGCGGGAGCCCATATCCTGGAGCACCAGTCTGTCCCCTCACGGCACAGCACAGCACACCCCTCACAGCTTGTCTGCAGGCTGGGAGAACGGGGCCTGACCATCTTCTCCATCCATGTCCACAGAGCCACCTGCTACATGCACATAGTGGGGTTCAAGTGCGGAGGTCATCCGAGGGTGCAGCCCCAGCTCCCCAGGTGCCTCCAAGTTCTCGTGGACTGTGTGTTTCCTGGTTAGAGCCCCTGTCTCTGACCCGACAGGAGGCCTTTGTTCTCTGAAGTTCTTGAAAACCTCCCCGAGCCATCCCAGGGCCAATGTCCAGTGGGCTAAGCAGCCTCCACTGTTCCTGGGCAGTGTGTTCTCTGTGCCAGCTTTCTGCCACCTGTGTCTTCAGGGGAGCAGGAGGGGGGCAGCAGGGTCAGTCCAGCAGACAGTCTAGTGAGCCAGTGGGAAAGTAAGGCCAGCCTCCTCCGCACAGGCCGAGGGTGTAGCCAGGGCCCCCTGGGCTCTCTCCCTTCTCAGGGCTGAGACTTTTGCTCTTCCAGGCTCCCTCACCTTTAGCATTGGCCTCCTTGAGTCAAAACACACTGGGAGCCCCTCCAAGGAACACCCCTCGGTCTCCTGCCAGCAAAGGGTGGCCCAGAGTGCTGGGAAGGCTTCCGTGGGAATCCCCAGAGCCCATAGTCATGAAGAACGGCCTTCCCAGCTCCTCGGCAGCCTTTTGTTCCCAGCTGCTAGAGGTGGTGGGAGTACAGCGAGGACAAGGCTCCAGGGAAAGGGGGAGGGAGGAGGGAAAAAGGTGTCGCCTTCTTGGTTGCTCAGATGGGGAAGCTTCACAGGCCCTGGCCCTTTGCTGTCTCCTCAGAATCCCTGAGCTCACGTTCTCCTCACAGTCCTGTGAGGGAGGGATTATCACCCTCCCTCTTATAAAAGAAATTTAACACTCAGAGAAGTAAAGTAACTTGCCCAAAGACACACAGCTCTGACAACCCTCGCACTCACCTCATTGTCTTGTGCATGGCACTTTATATCATTTGATTCTACCCCCAGGTAAGAAAATAATGCTGAAATAATTTTGGAGCAAGAATATGTCTATGATTTGTTTTAAAATAATTTGGCAGGGGAAGTGTATGAGGGGACAGAAGAAACAAGTTTGGTGAAATGTTGATGGCTGAAGCTAAGTGCTGGGTACATAGGAGTTCATGGTTACTATTCTCTAAGTTTGTGTGTTTGAAATGTTCCATAAGAAAAGTTTCATAAAGTTAAAAATAGTCCCCATATGCCCGAATTTTGGAAAGAATTTGTTTCTCATCAGAGCTCACATTTACCAGGTGCTAAAATAAGAGCACATGTGATTTCAGGGGCTTTGACTCAAACCTGTGTGGTGGGAACAGTTATTGCCTCCATTTTACTGATGAAGCACTGAAGCTCGGAGAGGAGAGGCATCTTGCCCGAGGTCACACAGCCTTGGTTCCCAAGCCTGTATCTGGGCTCAAGAGGTCTGACCCAGATCCCTTACCCAAGTTCTAAAGGCCCTTTCTCATTAAGGAAGGAGCAGAGCTCCCCTGCTCCCCCCTGCCCGTGCCAGGAGGGGATCAACCCAAAGCCCATCTACAGTGACCAAGGTAGGGGAACCTGTACCTAGAGGACCTCCCCTTGGAGCAGGAGCTTTCTGTGGATGGACAACCTGGGGATCATGAGGACACTTGGGGGCCCCTGGCCCAGGCCTGGGTGGGGAACCCTGGTTCCAGCTCACACCACTCAGCACACTTAATTGGATCCCAAAGAAAGGGTTGAAAAAGTGTCCTGAATGAATTAGTTCTGCTCCAAAAACCCACACCTGGTGGATGACTGCTCTCAACAGCCCATTCATGGGTCTCAGTTGTATCATTTCTTCCCACTGGGTGGTTAGAAAGGATTTCTCAGCACAGGCCTGAGTGAGGAGGCAGAGCTTCTCAAGGAGACCAGCCCAGGACCTACACCCATCCCACCACTAGGACAAGACGGCAGGGCCTGCCTCTGAAGTGGCTGTGCCAGTGGCAGAGGCAGGACTGCTAAGGGCCCATAGTCATGTCTTGTGAACGGCTTAGACCTCATCACTGCTGAAGGCCTC